AAGGCACCTGCGGTGAGTGCGTAATCTACGTTCCTTGTCCTGTGGCGCTGCCAATCGGGGTCTTCTACCGAAGGGGTCCTCGAAAGTATCCAAACACTTCGTTGTTGCTGCTAAGACTACGCCAGGCTCCTCCTCGCCCCCTGTGTCCTCAGGGCTCCGTGATGGTGTTTCTTCTCCCAACCACATGTTTCCTACATTTTTTTTCTCGCAGGCCAAACTGCTGCATACAGCAGATGCCCCCGCCGACTCCCCGCCGACTGCTGTACATTTAGATTATCACCTGTCGCGCTTAGCCTCAGGAGACACAAACCTCTACATCTTTTAGAGAAATCATACCAGCTTGAGCAACCCCGTCGATGAAAACTGTGCGGCTTATCAGTTTAGCCCTTGTAGCGCGAGATCGAGGTGCTTGAAGTTTAGCGATTTGAGTACAATCCGGCCGAGATTTTTGGTGAACCATCGCAGCAAATGCGTGCTTCAGTTGTAGACAGCTAGAGTACGCCACAAGGTAGGGTTGCTTCTACTCGTCGTGCGATGGCTCCGGGCGGTGTTGGTTTCCTTGGCACATTTCGTTGCCTCTGCTTTCTTGTTTGTTGTGCTGTTTGCTGCAACATCCTTTTGAATTCTGCACGTACCCCTGCCAATACCGGGCCGCACCCGCGGAGTAACTTTCGTGGTGGTGTACGCCCCCACGGAAAAATTTCCGCACCACTGCGGGCCGTGATGTTAACGCCAAGGATTCCTTCTGGACTGCTCTCGACGCAGCGATCCGGGAGGTTCACAGCCGTGACCATCTCGTGGTGCTAATGGACGCCAACGCACGCACTGGTAGGAGGCGAGACGGGTGCTGCGATGCCAAGATTATGGGCGCGTACGGACGCGACATTATGAACAAGAACGGGGAACGACTCCTTGGACTGGTATCAGACAACCAACTCTCCCTGACCAACACCTACTTTCGGACACCGAAAGGTGGAGTGCAGCACACATTCCAGAGCTCCAACAAGGAGAAGGGGAAGTACCGCCTCGACTTCATCCTCGTGCGTCAGGCGGACCGGCGTCTCGTACGTAATGCCTCCGTCAAACGTGTCGACTTCAAAGACTCTGACCACAACCTCGTGCTTACGACTGTCCGCCTCCCCCCCCGTGTCGCACCCAACCGACGAGTGCGGGGGAACAGCGGAAGCAGCCGGATCCGTATCGACCTCGAGCGGTTGAGGAAGGACAAACACCTACGGGTCGCCTTCCAAAACAGGGCCTCCAGCCGCCCTCCGCCCACGGCGCTCAGGCGGCCAACGGGAGAGATGTCGACCGCTGCTGAGACCGCGTCGATGGCGAGGTGCGCACGAGAGCAGAGAGCCTGGTACACGAGCGAAGCGCAGCACGAGATCTCCGAAGCGTTGAAGGAGATTAAGGCGGCCCAGCAGCAACTGCGTGGGGCCTCAAAGAACAGCGCCTTCGAGGCGACCCTGAAGGCGATGCTCAAGGCGGCGCGGAAGAAGCGCAGCATCGCGAGGTGGAGAGCACTGGAAACGTTCTTCGAGGGCTACGTACGGCAACTCGAGAAGAAGAGCCGCGAGGGGGATCAGGCGGGTTTCTACAAGCACCTGAGGATGATCGACGTCGAAGGTAAGGGGGCGTTCACCTCTCAGAACATCAAGGACGAGGACGGCAAGGTCCTTCGGGACCCCACGTTTATTCGCCAACGGTGGGCACGGTGGTTCCACAAGCTTCTCAACACCAAGTCGCCGACCATCGACCTGCATGCGGCTGACAA